TTACTTGTACCGTGCGGGATTCGAATACGCGACCCTTAGCGTTGCAACTCATTGCGCCACGGATAATTTAACTGGGGAGCTAATGGCACGAAATAGTAATTGCAAAAGGAAATATTTCACTTAACCAATGTTATAAATACTATATTTATTTTGTTTGTAGCTCTAAATATGAAATTATAGCAGCTGCAGCAGTAGTAGCTAGCAATCTAATACGTAGTCATGATTTGAAAATTACTAATAGATCTTAAATTAAAATTAATTCTAGGTGCGCTTCAATTGCTAATTGAATAATTAGAATCTGGAGTGTACATCCGCTAATTAAATAGTAATTAAATTATGAAATATAAAAATTACGCGCGGAGATGTTGGGAAATGGAAAATTCCCCTTTTTCTTAAGTAGCTAACTCACGACAAAATTACGCAAATCTGTTGTATTGATCGGGTTTGGTGAAGTTATGTTAGTGAGACTGCAAACCTGTCTGAAATACTGACTTGATACAATTTTATTAAAACCAATGTCTATATTATATTTTGTTACTAGTTGTGTTAACCATGTAGCGGCGGTTTAAGAATATCCACTACCCCATATCGTCCCGTGGGTGTCGTAAGAGGCGAAAGAGGGAAACAAACAAGATGGGCAGCAGCGATTTCACCGATAAAAATAAATAAAGAAAACACTGCGATCGACAACCCGACGGCCAAGCATGGCTACTATGGCGCTAGTAATAATAATATCCCTCGTGTGAGAAAATCTATGGGAGAGGTAACGAGCTGTGATAGGCTGTAATTGTATACGTAACTAGTTGTGACCGTGACTTCATCCGCATATAATCTTTCGATTGCTTTATTAATTTGGTCCTAATTTTAATTTTATCATGAGAATGATAATAATTTTGATTTTATCCATCAATATTAACCTATCAGCTCAGCGGAATAAGTATGAGTAATAATATTTTTATATAATAAAGCGGAAGAGTTTTTTTGATTTTTTGTTTGTTTAAACGCGCTAATCTCTGGAACTACCAGTCCGATTTGAAAAATTCTTTTTGTATATTACAGCCAAATTCATGTGGAATAGTATAGGCTATCTAGCATTAAGCTTTATTACTCAGCTAGCCTTAAATATGGATATTTGTTAAGCAAGTCAGAAGAAAAAGCACTCCCGAAATGATTTATCCGCGTACGCTGGTGTTATCGTTAGGGATACGTAAATACAATGTTCTAGAAAAATATAGACCTTTACTCCGTCTAAAAAAAGTCTGTGATACTATATGTCTATTTCTTATACATAAGCCATAATTTGGTATTTTGTGACAAAAAAATATTGAAAATTTAAAAATGTTTTATGAGCGTTATTATTAGGCATGGCCTATTTATCCTTACGAACGAAAGTTACTTCATCATCAAGACAACTTTATGAAGATAAACTTTGTTCTTTATACCATGTTATTTGGACGCATAGTTTAAGAGATAATGTAAAATTAAAATAATTCAATACTTGGCTGGGCAAGCGAACGACGCTTAAACCCTAGCCGTTATAAAATGCTTGAACTAGGTTATGTCGCGCACCTCGGACACGTGATGACGCGGGTGAAACCGCGGGGCACAGCTAGTGAGTAATAATATACGAGTGGGTATATTCTTGGAAACGCCTTTAATCAATAATGACTTAAAAAATGTTACTTTATGAATATCACTTAGAGTAGCTATACTTTCGGTCCCTGAGCTATTTGGCTTTAGTATTTCAGGGAATTAAATTTTTTAAGCTAAGTTAGTGCGCTTGACCTGTATGTGTGATTATGTTATTATTTGCACTATGTGGGTTTTAGCTATGTACGTGTTACTGCTATGTTTAAAAACAAATCGATTGAAAACAAAAATTGTTGCAGTTGTAGAATCAACCAGACAATATCATTGGCGTAATTGAAATGGTAGAATGACGGTTAAATGTAAAAAAATGTTACATTATTTTTGACGTCAAAATGAACACTGTTTATACATGGTAGAGCCATGCTGCAGCTATATTATGGTTGTAGTACGGGGAAGGACCACGCTCTCACAGAATACCAGTGTAAAATAGCAGCTTAACGATGCTGTGTTTCGTATGGTGAGTGTAGAGAACCGGAGACCCTTTTTACTTGAAACGAGGCATTCCATCTTAGTCCTCACGGGTGACAACGCATCTGCATTTAGATTCTTAATCGAAGATAGATGTAGATGTCTATGGGCTACAGCAACCACTTACCATCAGATGGACTGTGTGCTCGTTTGTCACCCTATCTTATAAAAAAAAACCTTTTAATACCTAGAGATGTAAAATTTTTGTTTTTTAACATCGTTTTTACGTGAATTATATTAATAGTAACCTGTTGGTATAAACTGCTTCACATAAACGTTCCGTTTATCCATACAATATTAACTTGTCTTACATTGATAATGCAAATATATTATGCGCACCGATGGCTACCAGGCTAGGATTACCTTAATCAGTATTATTGTTTAACTACATATTTCTTTTTTTAGAAGGCTTAACCAAAACAAATATACTTTTATGCGAAGGAATTTCGCTCGATTGTAATTATAGTTTTAACTAGCTGTTCCCCGCGACTTTGCCCTCGTGTAATTTAGGGTTTTAAATTTTTTGCGCGTAACCCTAATTATTTTTTTAATTTTATCTACAATATTAAAAACTATGATAATAAAATAAAAAAAAAAACTAAAACTAGAAACTTAATTATCATATAGTCCTACTCCCCGCGGTATCGTGCCAAGAACGCTGGCTGCGTTTCCCCTTGCGTTTTAATTATTTTTATAAAATATAAGTAGCCTAAGTACTCCTTATAACATGAGATATCTATCAGTGAAAGTCCCCTCAAAATCGGTCCAGCCGTTTCGGAGATTAGTCGGAACAAACAGACAGACAGACAGACATAATTTTTAAAAATTGTGTTTTTGTTATAAGTACCGTATATTCTTTTATGTCATTAGTAAAAAACTGTTATTTTGACATTACAAACAGACACTTCAATTTTATTATTTGTATAGATATAGATATAGACTTAAGCAGCCCAATATGTATCTGGAATATTTTAGTTTATTTATTATAAAATGCGATTAAAAATGAAAAAGCGACTTTTTGTATTAGTACATACATATTATTATTTTTGTATTAGTACATACATTTATTAGTATATACACATTGTTTTTTAATGCACCTAATACTAATGGAAATTCTACCAAAACGGCCAAAAAATTCACAAAATGCCATTTTATAGTATTATTTAATTTATCGATATAAGAAGGTGCTTAATTATTATATTTTGTATTACATTTCCAACTCCGAAAGATAGTGAGCCCATAAATGTCAAATCTTAATATTTTCACCTTGAATTTATTTCAGTATTATCTAAAGCATGTGGTAAAGACATAAACATTATACTCATAATATAAAATGAAATTTGGTATTGTAACTCGAAAATCAATCAACGTTACTACAACGAAACTAACAATAGACATAGCCCGCCTACCTGAAATTGACTGGCGAACAATATTATATCGTAAGCTGTATTATATTAATTCGGCTTTACAACAGAAAACCTAGATTAATGTTGCCAAACGACAATTATCTTGGGAAATTCGTGACAGTTAAAAGCCTTTCTTGTATAATGACAGAAATGTATTTTTGAAATTATTATCATGTTGAAATATCTAAGGGATTCGAACGCTAGTGTATTATAATACCTACTATTAAATATATTAAATTACCTACTATTGAGAGAAATATACATATGTTGTGGTAGCTCAGATGGTTAGCGCTCACTTGTACACGGTGTAAATTTCACAGTACGGTAGCAAACCGGGTTCGATGCTCGTTTTTGTTAATTGTAATTTTAAGTGCTGATTTACCACGTGCTCAGCGGTGAAGGAAAACATCGCGAGGAAACCTGCATGTCTAGAATAAAAAAAATATTTCAAAGACACGTGAAGTTCGTAAACAAGTATTAGGGCAGCGCAGTGGACATTTCCTTGCACTAAAACCCTCTCAGAAATGAAAGGAGGCCTGTGCCCAGCAGTGAAACGTATATGCTGTAACTTTTTTTTATAGGATTGGTGACAAACGAGTACACAGAGGTTGATGTAGCCCATAGACATCTACATCTATCCTCGTTTGTGAATCAAAATGCAGATGCATTCTCACCCGTAAGGACTGAGATGGAATGCCTCTTTTCCAGTGTAAAGTGTCTCCGGTTCTCTACTCTCACCATACAAAACACAGCAGTGTTAAGCTGCTCTTTTACGCTGGTATTCTGTGAGAGCGTGATCTTCCCCGGTCGAGCCGACCCATTCATGATATAACTATACTACTAATATAGCTGCAGCATGGCTCTACCACGTAAAGCATGGCTCTACGACGTAGAAGCATGGCTCTACCACGTGAAATTTTATACGTATTTTTATTTTGATAAATTTTTCTATATATTTATTATTTATTGTTTGTTTGTCCAAACTACAAAAAATGTGAATTGTAATTATATAAACTTACCACGCAGGTGATATAAGTATTGTCGTGTCCAATATCAGAAAAGTACATCATTTAATTTTCTGCAGGTGAGTCTTTTAGTCTTATATAGGGTAACTGTTTTTCTGCCGACTTCCAAAAAGGAGACGGTACTCAATTCGACTGTATGTTTTTTTATGTGTGTTACCTCATAACTTTGTATCGGGTGAACCGATTTCGATGATTCTTTTTTTTATATGAAAGCTGATATTTCTCATGTGGTCCCATATGAATTTGATCGAGGTCAGATCAATAGTTTTTGAGTTATTCTTAAATAACTTATATTGAAGTCGGCTGTACAAAATTTTTAATTTTAAATTATTTGTATTAGAAAATAGTCTCTTACCTATAGAAGTAATATACGAGTGTTCAGAGAATAGTCATAAATTTATAATAAGCATTACTAAAAGTAAATTACGAAATTTATTCTAGGATAACTTACCTTATTTAGTTGATCGTCCGCTTTTCCCAATATGACTTCACAGCCTTCACGATGGACGAATAATTTTCGTGCTTGTACTTTCATGTGAAAGGTTCGATCAATGAGAGGTGTGGCCACCAGGCGTTCCAAAGAAGTGGCAGCATTGCTGCTACCCATCACGTCTGCTTCGACTTCTTGCAGTAAAGTTTCCCAGGTATGAAAAAGTGAAGATGGACATGAAGCCCTGGGAAAGAAAGAAATATGGTAAGCTTTGTTATGTATGATATTTTTATGCTATTTGCATATCCTTATATATAAATTTAATATAATATCATCATTATCATCATTAATATAACCCTTCACGTGTTCACTGTAGAACAAAGGCCTCTCCCAAGAGATGCCACAAAGCACGGTCGTGACCCACCTGTACCCATCTACTTATAACATCGACTTATCTATTGGGCAACTCCACACTAGATGGAGTGACGTGACCTGGTAAGATATTCAGGGAATTTATATATAATATATACGAAGTGAATCTGATTGTATGTGCTTGACATTAATTATTAATAAAAAGCAAGAGCCGACTTTAAAAAGTTAAAGCTTCTTAAGACGGCGCTGAGGTGTAGTGTATAGAGAAATTAAAGTCTGACTTTAGAAAGAAAATTATTTCATTCTTTTTAGTTTCTAGAACTACTTTTACTTCTTATAAATTTTTTACCCTTTTGAATGGACTGAGGAATATCAAATTTCAATATTATAAATAGAATGTCGTTTAAACGATTACATTTAAAAAGTCAACATTACAGTTCATTTTTGTTCTTCAAATATATCATGAACCATTCCTACCTATTTAATATTTTTTTTATAGAATTAGGGTGATAAACGAGCACACAGTCCACCTGATTGTAAGTGGTTACTGTGGTCCATAGACATCTACATCTATCTTCGTTTCCGAATTAAAATGCAGATGCGTTGTCAGCTGTGAGGACTAAGATTGAATGCCTCCTTTTCAGTAAAAAGGGTCTCCGGTTGTTTACACTCACCATACGAAACACAGCAGCATTAAGCTGTTATTTTAGACTGGTATTCTGTGAGAGCGTGGCCTTCCCCGGTCGAGCCGACCCATTAGTGCTGCAACTATATTATTAATATAGTTGCAGCATGGCTCTACCACGTATAAATAAATAAAAAAAAAACAACATATAAATCGGTTTATAGTTGACGAAGATATCGCGTAACATAAACTCTACAGAAAGCTAGTCGAATTAAGAACCTCCACCTTTTTTGGATTCGGCTAAAATGAATTTAACAACCGTTCCCGCGGATAATTCAAGCTGTTTTTAACACCCAACGTTGTTTATGTGTAAATATAACCAAATTATTGTAAATTGGTATTAAACAATTTATGGCGTTCCCTTGATAATTATTAAAATGTTAGCAAACCTGAAAACTACTAACTTTATTTGTGAAAAGAAAATAATCTGAGGTTAATAATTTTTTATGCCTAAATACTAATAATATTATAAACACTAATTATAAATATTTTCGCTATTCAAATTAACTTTAAAATGATTCAGCAAAATGCTTTAATAATGGGTTTTTGCCTTTTTTGGTGTATAATTACTTCTTAGACCTAAAATAATTATTAGCCTTAATTTTAATCATCTTTTGATTTATAGATTCTGCTTTAATTACTTAAATAGTTGTCAAAAACAAAACTTGTCAGACGTCTCATTTAAGCCTATTAATTACTGAAATGATGATTAAATAACAGGTGATACTATCTCACGTTTTCTATAAATGTGTCTTTCCCTAGGGCTAAAAATAATTATATCTTTTTGAAAACAACTTGTGTTAATTCATTTCATAATGATTCTAAAGATTTAATATACATATATAAGGCCGGCGCGCTGAATTTATAAATTCGAAATTCAATTGATGAAGAAAAATGGAGTTTGAGTTTTATTTTTTTTTCATAGTCCTTAGTACACCTACTTCAGGAGCATAATCAAACATTCTCTTGTATTTCCTTAATAACTACTATCCTATAGCCTATATCTACTATCAAATAGTTGAGATTTAAATTTAAAACTAAATAATAAATATTATACAATGAAATTTAATTTTAAAAGTCAGCCGCCAAAATTAAATTTATATTTAAAATTTCTTAAATTATTTAATAATTTTTTTTAAAAAATCTGTTGACCCTTAAAACTATTCCAGATACAGTCGTTTGTATTGTCAATAAACGAGTTCGAGTAATGACTACAAGCGACAAACGAAGAATTACTTCTACTCGTGTACACAAACACAAGCTCAACGTCAGTTTAGAATACACTACTTCTTCAGTAGGTTTTTATTAGTTTCAGATATTAGATAGATATTTCATATATTATCCTGAGGTTAAAGATTTAAGATTGAAGATATTATTCATTTCTTCACTAACTGAAGGCGTCACAAAATGGCTAACTTCAAGTTAAATCAATACTCGAAACTTCTGAAAATGTAGTATTACGTAAGCAATAAAATAACTTTTCTTTAATTTAGTAGTGCATTCTCCTTTAAAAACAGAAACATTTTTACTTATCAGCGTATCAAATTTAAGTAAATAAAGAACTAACTAAATATTATCCAAATTTTGTTTGACTGAAAATAATAAATCCACTTAAGCTCTGGTGCGCTTTATAAATTATACACTAGGTATGCCCGTGTTGCGGACAAAAGTGGAACGGAGTTATTTATTATAAAAAATGTTATAATGCTATGGAACTATAATAAAGTCTTTGCTTAATTTAAAACCTATAAACCAATAATAACGTTTCTATAGTACAACATTTAATACTAAACTAGAAATACGAATTTAATCTAATTTTTTACACAAATCCTTTTATAATATATTATAACAAAACCTTCATACATGAAATCTATATAAACTTTGGGAGTAAACTACATTTCGCAGTAATATTTAAGGCAAGATACAGAAGATAGTAAAAGAGAAACTTATCCAAACCAAAATTACATAATAATATGGCACTCAACACTAATTGCAATAACTGTCATTGTCATAAAGACGCATACCGTTTTGTCATCATCATCATCATTATCACCATTACAGCACTTCACAAGTACACAGCTAAACATAGGCCTCCCACAAGGTATGTCACAAAGCACAGTCCTGTGCCAACTGCATTCATCGACGTCTTAAAGTAATAATATAGAATGCCGTTTTAGGGTTATTTACCGTATCGCGAGTTGTATTACTACGAAAATTAAATTCACAAAATTGAAATGCTTAAATTTACAAAAACATTGTTCGTCGTACCAACCTTTTAAACGAAAAGCGTTATATTTAAGTTCTAGCTGTGAACACTAAAAATATCATAAATGCCATTTCTTAATAAGATAAGGCTAACAAACGAGCACACAGTCCACCTGATGGTAAGTGGTTGCTGTGGCCCACAGACATCTAAATCTATCCTCGACTACGAATCAATATGCAGATGCGTTATCATCCGCGAGGACTAAGATGGAATGCCTCTTTTCAAGTAAAAAGGGTAGGTCTTCGGTTCTCTACACTCATCATACGAAACACAACAGAATTGAGATGCTATTTTACGCTGGTATTCTGTGAGAGCGTGGTCCTTCCCCGGTCGAGCCGACCTCGAACTATACTAATAATATAGCTGCAGCATGACTCTACCACTTATAAACTCTATTTTTAAAAAGCTTTTTATGTATTTTATGCAATTTTACAACCATGTGTACCTTAAGCTGCAAATTTGCGCCATAAAGCATTATAGTGTCTGATTATGCGGTTATAGTACTTAAACTTAAATACCTCAAACGATACATGAATGACATAAGTCGGTCATTAAGCAGCTTCCTTGTGCTACTTGGGCAGTTTCACTCGAGATAGAAATAAAACTTGTATCGAAGTCAGGGATAAGAGAGCTATGCCTGCTTCGCTCTTTTCAATGAACCTAAAGAAATAAAAATGAATCTATGCAATGTTCAACTACGTAAAGTATCTGTGCTGAGTTTCATTGAAATCGGAAAGTTAGTTTCAGAAATCGGAGCCACGCTACGCCCCAATAAGTAGCATGATCAAGCTAAAAGCTTTCAATGTAAAGGATATAAACACAAAAAAATATAATAGTAAATAAGTGACATAATAAAACAAATTTTATATTAGAAAGGTTTTAATTTTGAAGTACTTCGTTTAAGTGAAATTTGCATACCACTATTCATAACAGCTCACCACAAACCTTCTCTTACGCATAGCATAAATTGGCATAAAGAACGGTCCTAAGCCACCTGTATACATCGACTATCTGCATGTTTTATTATCTCGTCACTCGATCTAATGGGGATTTGCTTTGCAATGTACCTGGCAGTATGAGGCTGCCATTCCAGAACAATTCTTTCCCACTAGTTATCAGTTCTTCGAGCATTATCACTACTATATTCAGCTGAGCTATATCATTTATTCTCAATATTCTGCTGATATCTTCAGACATTATGTCCCAGGTAAACATATAAATATATACATAAAATATGTATAAAATATTTGTATTTTGACGGCTCCGTGGCACAGTGGCTTAGCAATGAGTTGCAACGCTGGGGGCCGCGGGTTCGAATCCCGCTCGGAACAAGTATTTTTATGGCCTACAAATAATTGTTACGGGTCTGAATGTTATTATCATTTATGTTTGTAAACTGCCATTATAAATGTGCAATTTATGTTTGTAAACTGCCTCTACGATACAGGACATAATCCTAGCGTGGAGGTAACGTTTTAAAAAAAAACGAAAAAAGATATTTGTATAGGAGATATTTGTAAAGTTTATTATATTTTATACGAGAGTAAAATGTATATATTATGTAGTTAATTATCATTTTTAGTTTGTTTTTATACTATATTGCTACACCTACGTCAAATCACTCCATGGGTTGACTGGTAGAGAATGCTACAAGGCAAAGTCCGCCGTTTGTATTCTTTTGTTTTATGGAATGCATTAAAGAATAAATAAAAATAAAATACTCGTCAACAACTTCGAGCGTGAGTATCTAGTTATAGCATATAAAATTCATAGTACCCACTAATAAATTTCACCAACTTGCGAAATTTAACTGGCAACCAGAATAATTTTACTTAGTGGATCATTGCCCTGAAGAGAAGTCAGATAAATAATGTTGGGAGAAACTAGATGACACAGAAAGAGTTGACGTCTCGACGTCGGG